TGAACCTGCCCATATTTGACGACTGATGGGGACTTTTGGAGACTGGAAAGGTCACAAATAACTGGAATGATTTCAGAATGATCCTGTTTGCCCATAACTGGCCGCTGCAAGAAGGGGGAAGCTGGTCTGGGTAGTAAGGTTTGGTGTTTTGCCATCTGCAGGTCTCAGAGGGGTGTGAGCAAGTGGGTTACAATGGTCTTTTATGGGTCATTTTTGTGTGCCTTTTGTTTTGCTGCAGGCCCGGATGCCAGCCATCCTAGTGATCCTGGCTCTGTATAGGCAGAGGGTCAGGGTGGGTTACAAGTACTGCTTTCCCCCGGGTCTAGCCAGGAGGACTGAGGTACAGAGCAGTCAAAAGACCTGCCAGTGTGATGGACCAAGGGGTGATAGCTTGGAAACGGCTCCGCTGCTGTTAGACCCGTTCTGCTCTTCTCCTTCCCAGGTACAAACTGCGAGAGATCCCGTACACCGTCCCCACCGAGCTCCCCGGGGACGCTCAATGAGAGCTGCAGCATCGCGCCCCTCACGCCCTCCCAGTCTCCGGTAAGCCACAAGACGCCTTCAATGCTCCTACCACACCACTGCCAAATCGGGCATGACTTGACATGTCCCATGACTCACGACATAGGAACAGAGCTAGCGAGGTGCCCAAGCAATACGTGGCTTATTTGGGCACGTGGTAGGCCATAGAGAAGGGGTGGGGAGTCATGGCAACAGCACCAAACCCCTCCATCCCAAATCAGGATGTGCGGCTCCTACCTCATCACGGGTAGATGCCCATCCAGCCTCTGCCGGGCACCTCCAGAGAAGGAAACTTCACAGCCTCCCTGGGTGGTGAGCGGTGGGGTTTCCTGCGTCTTTCCCTGCACCTCTGGGTGCTAATCAGAGCAGGGTCCCGGCTAGGCAGACCCCGGGCAGAGCTGCTGGGGCTGTTCCCAACCCTCTTGCTTTGTGTGCAGAGGAACGAAGCTCGGACGCAGAGGCCCACATCCTTCGTCGTGGTGGTGGCCATCGACTTCGGCACGACCTCCAGCGGCTATGCCTTCAGCTTCTCCAACGACCCCGAGGCCATCCACATGATGAGGTAGCCCACCAAGGGCCATGGGTGGCGGGGTGCCAAGGGTGGTGGTCTGGCTCCTTTCCATGCTTTGGGTAGATTTTCATGTAAAAAGTCGCAGAGGACTGGGGTTGCTGAGAGGCAGAGGGGTGGGTCTGCCCATGTGCTTGACCTTGCTGTGATGGATGGTCCCTCTTCTCTCCATCGTGGTGTTGAATATATTAAAATTATATCACCAACCTACTTTTATGCAACTTGTAAATAGCCATCAAAAATAAACCTCAATAGTCACCTAATAAATGAAACAAATTAAAACTCCTACAATTAAACATTTATCCAAAAACATCCAACAAATGGAATATTTAAAGTCAAATTAACTCTTTACCCATTCAGATTCTTTACAAATGAAACGTTTAATCAATTTAGAATAATACAGTGTATTTTGAACACTACACAGCAAAACCAATCTTATAATCCAAGGTAGAAATCTAACAATTAGTGTAAAGCAATAATTCATATAAAAAAAAACCTCATTACCATTCATATTGTTACAAAAAATACAGTCACCCAAACGTACAAGTAACACACTGTTATAACACCTTACTAAACCAAAATACAACCCAACAAAATACAAACTTACCTTCAAAGTTAATTATACATATCCAAATCAATCCAAGCAAAGTATCTAAACCAACTAAGCTAAAAAAAATCAAAACTTTATGTAGCAAGCTCAAATACAACCTCATTTTAAAAACATATTAAACTTCATATAATCATAACTCAACAAATTACTTCCAAAATGCAAAGCTTCATAAATATGACACACAAAAATGTAAACAAAATGCAACAAAATAAGCAAACCCTTAAAAATAAAGTCCTATAATTAAGTTACATAATACTACATAATTCAAACCCATTCAAGGTAAACTTAATAAAAAATCTTAAAGCCAAATATACAAAAGGTGGTAACAAACCCAAACTTACGTGTAATAATCAAGTAATACCAATATTTAATCAAATTAACCAAAGAAATATACAGTAATTATATTTAATCCAACCCAAAACTGGGTTGGATTAAACATTACATACACAAAATTAAAAGAAAAATATAATAAGCATATACAACCAATTACCTGTAAAATCAAAAGTACCCACAAAGGTACACTTAAAACAAAGGTACATAGAAATAAAAACATAAAATAAAACCCACAGTAGAATACGTAAGCATTATAATTATAATGTCTATAATAAAACACAAAAAGTAGTCAGACAAAACTTTAACATAAATTTAAAAAATCTACCCCAAGATGAAGCTAATCACTTTTATAATAACTTCTAAATAACAAATTATAACCAAACCTCCTATAGTAAGTGTTATAGTCCAACATTTTAAAAACAAAACCCAAAATATAACGTATGTATTATACACAAAAAATCCACAAATTAATATGTATAACCAGTCATTTAATTACCTTTTAAAATAAAAACCAAACACTCCATAACAAGCAGCATCACGAATCAACAACCGTATTTCATAAAACGTACATTTAAAAAACTATAACTTCACGCAAATCAACTTCAGCAAAAATCAAAAGCAACTCCAAATGTTATCCACAGAAATGACTAATTATTTTATTAAGCTGCAAAACAAAAACGCTTCACGAATATTTAAAGCACCTAACTCAAGCTTCATAAAAATCATAACACCAAAACAAAAAATAACATACAATATCCAAAAAAGTAACAACAATTAACAGTATGAAACAATCATTATAAAATACAATAAAAAAACTTTTATCAAAACAATAAATACATTAAATTGTTATAATTGTAGTTGGAATCATTATATTGTTAATATCTATAAAAGTAATTGTGTGTTTTATAAACTGTCATCAACAACAACAAATACAAAGACTCAATACCGACATACCACTCACCACTATATAGTCACAATACCTAATGAACTTGAGGAACTGTCATAGTAACAAGTATAAGTTGCCTATTAGCCATTGTTGAAAGAGCCTGTATATAAATGCACAAAAATGAAACCTAACTGAGTAAGTGATTCATAGTAAAATGAAACTTAAGATAATGGAATGAAACTTAACACACCAATCAGGTGCTGAGCGTACAAGGTTACTAGGTTACTTTAGAGCAATTGGGGAGTCTCAGAAACGGGCTCGGACCAAAAAAAATTGCTCAAAACTAAATCAATAAAGTAAAACGGGCATGCGCCAAATATGGCATCCATACCCAAACATGGGACTTATGGCAAGGCAAAGTAAAAGGGGGGCCATAACACCAACTCACGCCATATAAACTGAGCATAAGCGATCCCAATTCGGAGGAGAACTCACTTACAGAGCATCGAAGGAAGAATTGCAAGTAGTTCGCGTTGCAGCCTGATCAACTAGACAAAGTCCCCAAAAGGAATATCTCACTCTAAGTGAACAAGTCGCCTCACCTAAAAGCCACAAAACACCAAGCCAGCAAGATCTCATCTAACTTGGGAACAAAATAAAATAACCAAGTATGCTACACCTATTAGCGTAGTAAGTATAAAACATAAATAATACAAATAATTCTAAAACCAATAAAGTAGTTATAACCTGTAACGGTACTTGTAATCCCTTTTCTATATTATTATTATCAACAGAAACAGGAGCAGCAATTTCTCTCATATTTTTGTGTTTTATGTGTGTATGTATGTTGTGTTTCATATTATTTAAAAAAGCGAAGCGGTTCTACGAGCAACCTGAAAAGTGGTAAATGAGTTAATACATTATATGTAATAAAAAAAGCTGAATAGTTAATAACACCCACCTCAAAAATCTCCTCAGTACTTACCTTTCACATGCCTACTTTCCAACTCTTAACGAGCCGTACCCTTGGGCCCTATAACTTTACCACACTCACATCGCCCAGCCCCGGCTCCAGGCAGGATCATCCCTGACAACCCTCCCAGCCAGGGGTCTGGCCAACCTGCTCGTGGAAACTTCCAGGGATGCAGTTTCCACCACTTCTCCAGGTGCCTGTTCCAGTGCTCAGCCCCCCTCGGAGTCAGAAAGTTCCTCCTCATCTCCAGCCTCAGTTTCCCCTGCTGCAGCTTGAGGCTGTTGCTCCTAGTCCTGTTCCCTGAGGCTACAGAGAAAAGCCCGTCTCCAGCCTCTCTGCCGTTGTCCTGCAGGAATTTGCAGCCTGTGATCAAATCCCCTCATCCGTCTTCTCTCCTCCAGACTCAGTCCCCCAGCTCCTCCACCCCATGCTCATGGGTCTTGCCTCCCAGGTCCCTGATCGTTTTGGTTGCTGGGCTCTTTCCAATCTTCCCACACCCTTCTCTGCAGTGCTGCAGCCCCGTCAATCGTTCATTTTGTGCATCCAGTTATTCCACCCCAAGCTCAGGACTTTGTATTTGTCCTTGCTGAGTCTCATGTGTTTTACTGTGCAGATGTAAAATTGATACCTGCATAATGCATGTATCAAATTTACGCTCAAGTCAGTGTACGTCACCATATTTACTGTGCAATATAGGCACGTGTCTACATGTGCACGCCTGTAGTGAGCCATAATTTTGGTTCCTGCAGAGTAAATGGGCACATGTAGATGCACCCAGTGACTCCTAACTTTGGCATGTTCAGCCCAAGATCCAAGCCCATGTCCCGTGGCTTGGACCCATCTCTTCACCAGTGCCGCATTGCTCCTTCTCTCCTTCCCATCTTTGCCGGTCTTCTAAGAGCGAAAAGGGTGGAGGCTGATCTGATCTCAGGATATTAGACCTGAGGAGTGAGGGGGGTCTCATGAAATGAGTCTTATAGACTTCATGAGTGTAGGACCACATCCCCACCAGGACGATAGGCTCATCTGTGAGCCCTGTGATGATATACTTTGCATCCTCCAGAGCTGTGTATTGAACCAGGCCTGGCATCTGGATCACACACGGGCTCCAGCTTGGGGTCCAGTGCTTCGATGGCCTGATGGAAGGAAAGTCAGTGAACAAAGTTGTGGGTCGGATGTGGGTTGTAACTCTAAGGCTCAGCCAAAAGAGCTTGATGGGAGCCTCTCCGCTCCAGGGGCCCCGGTGGTGTCTCTTCCACCCCACACCCTGGCACCCCGAGCAGCAAACAGGGTGGCTGGGTAGCTTTTGATCACGCACCTGAGTTACTGCGAGCTATATATCTAGTTAGATCTCAGGTAGCTTACGAATAGTATCCAGAGGCAGGTGGAGATTCCCTCTGGAGGCAAGCAGTTCATTGATCATGAGAGAGCAAGTTGCAGATGCTCCAGCTTCTCTCTCTGAGTTTTTTCATCATGGCTACTGCCCCCCTTCTGGGCTGTCCTTCACTTATATAGCCCTTATGACCTCATTTACCTGATCCAAAGGAGGCCAGCAACTGTTGGCTGTCAACCAACCAATTTGAAATGCATCACCGGTTGCCAGGTAGACTGGCATTGCTCAGAACAATTGGGAGCTTAAACCCCCCCACCCAGGTATGTGATGCCAGTCACATAGGCAGAATGAGCAGGTTTCCCTCTCCCTCAGGACTGTATCCAGCTCAGGTTACAACTCGGGGTTACCTAAAGCGCCCATGGGATGTTTGCCCTCTGCAGGGACCATGTTAACCAAATTGTCACATAGCAGAGTTTTTGGGGAGAGGCAGAGGTGGCATTCTGCCACACGCCCCATGCCCTGAACCAATGGCCGGAGCCAGCCAGCCCCCTCCATGAGCCTCGGGCTGGCTTGGACAGCTCCTCCTAGAACTGAAAAGCAAACTCTCAACACCTACGACACCTCCTCTTAATGAGACAGGAAGTGACATCTACCGTGGCTCCTTCTTGCAGGAAGTGGGAAGGCGGTGACCCCGGTGTGGCCAATCAGAAGACACCCACTAGCTTGTTGCTGACACCAGAGGGCACTTTTCACAGTTTTGGATACACGGCCAGGGACTATTACCATGACCTTGACCCAGAGGAAGCCCGGGAATGGCTCTACTTCGAGAAATTTAAGATGAAGATTCACAGCACTAGCGTAAGCCGATGGTTTTCTCTGCTTTTTCCCCGCAGTCCCAGAGGAGAGGAGGCCAGGGGGCTGCTGAGATGGGCTAGAGGGCAACTTGTCAGCTGCAGGGAATTAGGAATTATTTCCTAGAAATCATCTTCATAGCCAGAACATGAGCAGTGTCATGCTGGGCCCATCCATACCAGTTGCCCATCTCCGATGGTGGCAGCAATAGATGCTTTACAGGGAGAGCACGTACCCTCCCTGGCAAGAGCCATCATTGTTGTAGAGATGCCAGACAACAAAATCTTCAGTATTTTGATCCCCCATGTGAGATTTCACTGATTTTTTTCAAGTTCACAATTTTGCCTCTGTTGGTGGTTGAAGGTGGGGGAGTTGTGAATTTTCAGACATTTTTGGGCGATGCTGTGAACCATTTGTAGAGTCTAGGCAAAGCTGAGAAAGGGGTTGAAGCCAGTTAAAAATTAAGAGGGGAGGAAAGGGTTTGGGAACATTTTCTCTGGCTTATTCTCCCTCCCTTCAAAAACATCAGAATACTAGGACCTGATTCACTCAACTCCAGATTTGGCCCAAACACGAGGGCCAGGAATTAACGGTATTTCTATGGCATTTTGGTGTCAGGATGAAATTGTCTGCCCAAATTTTTGCAATTTAGTAAATCCCAAGCACTTTGGATAGGGGAACCAGGGAGTGCATTTGCTCAGGAGGGCAAAATTGGGAACAGGACAGAGCAGGGAGTGCAGAGAACGTCCCTCCCTTCCCTAAGCAAAAGAGATGCTGTGAGCTGTGAGCTTGTAACCAAACCCCTGGAGGGTATGTGCCTTTTGGCCCATACTGAGGGAATCAGAGGGTTGGAAGAGGTCATCTCATCCAGTCCCTGGTGCTGGAATTGCTTTACACTGGACGCATCTACATGTGCACATCTACTGAGCAGTAATTTAGGTTACTACAGAGTAACTAATAATTACTGCACCGTATGGGCACACATCGACACGTGCATGCCTGTCCTGTGCAGTAACTATGCCAATTTGAGTATAAATTTGATACCGGCATCATTCAGGTAGCAAATTTACGCTCGATTAATTACTGTGCAGTAACACACATGTAGATGCCTTACTGCACAGTAACACTGTGTGTGTGGACTGACTCGGGACTAACTTTAGTCCCGAGTCAGTCCACACACAGTGTCAATGCGTTTGACTGGCTGCATGTGTAGATGATGGCCTAAAAAATGCTTACTGCACAGTAACTTGCTGAGCAGTACATGCATGTGTAGATGCACCCACTATGTCATAGACCCTCGAGTGCTCTCAGGCTCCTCTTTAGCTCATGTACTGGAGACTTCTTGAGCAGAAGGTCCCAGGCCATGAACCCGGGGAAGATCAGTGGGCCCCTGATCCGCAGGTCCGACTGTCCCTCCTGGTCTCTGGGTGTAGGAGGAAGCTCCACTGACTCCCATCTCTCTCCCCTCTGGGAAAGCAGCTAATGCCCTGCCTCTGATGACCTCAAGTTGTTTGTCTCCTTGTTCATCTCTCTAGGACCTGACCATGAAAACTGAACTAGAAGCTGTGAATGGGAAGAAGGTCGCAGCACTGGAGGTGTTTGCGCACGCGCTGCGCTTTTTCAAGCGGCATGCTCTGCAGGTCAGCCTGCCCTCGCTACACCCCTCACCGGGGCTTGCAAAATCAGGGCAATCCTCCACTGAGATCCCTGCCAGCTGGGGCTAAAATACTATCCCTGCCACCCCCTGGGAGTCTCGCTGCCCTTGCTCACATTTTAGACAAAAATAACTGAGAGAGGCCTGGCCACAGCCCCAGACTCAACCCTAGATAATGCAAAATACCCAGCTTGACAGCATGGTCTTGCTGCTGGCCAGAGGCAGCTTCCATGCAAGCCCGCAGTTTTTGTATGCGGTAAGAGGCAATGGAGTCGGCTTCCCTCACCCCACCCAGTCCTGCAGCTAATCTACTCTGGAGAGATGCCACGGATGAGATGCTACTCAGTTTAAGATTGAAGCAAAAACAAAAAAGACTTCATTGGAATGAGTTAAAACCCATGTGCAGGGCTGTGAAATAGGAGCTTCGTGACCAGGAGCAGGTAACAGGCAGCAGGACTGCAGAAGAAAGGCTGGTTGGAGCAGGGTTTTGCCTCCTGTTCCTCTGCCACTTGCAGCCTCCAGCATTTAAGGTCCAGGCAGGTCTGATGCAGAGGCTGTATCCCTAATTCCTATGTTCAATAGCGATGGATGCCCCTTTCCTCCAAGCTTGTGTCCAAGCCCTTGGTGAATCTGGCTAAAATCTCCACTTCCCCTTCATCTGTTGTCTGTGATTTCTACACTTAAATGAGCCACTACTCACCCTATTTCATGGAGGTCCTTATGAAGCAGCAGACAGAAGATGGTGAGAACCTCCCATCTTTCCAAACCGTATGTGAAGGGGAGATTCCCAGCAGCCCCTGAGCCATGCCAACCCCCTACAGCCAGGCTCTGTGTCCACCATGCAAAGAATAGTCCCACTCATGCATAGGGATATGCACTCGGCTGACTCTATGCTTCCCATTAAGGGGCGGTAGATGATCCTTTCATGTTTGCACCTTCTGCAAAACATCCCAGCAGCTCAGGCCGTCTTTGTGGGGAGATGGCCTGAGCTGAAAGTCTGAGCCTGCTCCTTTACCAACAGGAGCTCAAGGACCAGTGCCCGTCGTTGCCGGAGACGGGAGCTGTGCGCTGGGTGATCACGGTGCCAGCCATCTGGAAACAGCCCGCCAAGCAGTTCATGAGGGAGGCTGCCTACAAAGTGAGTGTCAGTTTGCCGTTCCCTTCTCATATCCGGGGTTGTTTTTCCAGTGATGTCTAGGGTTGTGAGGGACCAAGTAGGTTTTCTCCTTGAACCCTCCAGTGAGGGAGAGTCCCCGCTTCCCTAGGCAGTCCAACACCCTCCGCTGTGTCGGGGAGTTTACCCCAATGTCCTTGTTTGGCTCCACAGGGGATCCCTGTGATCATCCTGTGTGATCCCTGGTGCTTTCCCTAATCTGGGTGATCTCTCTGTCTCCTTCCTGGGATGCAACCTGCGATAAGGGGGTGTTGGGACTTTTGTCCTTCTCCATCACCGAGCAGGGGCTTGTGTTGATAGTGCAAAGAGTAACGTTCAGCACAATATGGGGGACTTGGGGTTCACAAGCCAGGAGAGTGGGGGTCTCTGATCACCTGACTAGCTGGAAGATAATAGTCTACTACAGCTGCCAGAAGTGGACCTTCTCCTCTACTGTCATGCTTACAGTGGCCCAAAGCCTGGGTGCAAAAGTCCCAGATATTTGCAGGCCAGGCCATTATAATCCTTTTGAATCTTTCTTTCCAAGCCAGCTGTGCAGCAGAGAGGGGGAGGAAAGAGACCCAAGGGCCCAATCCAGCCCGAGTGCTCCTAGAGGGATCCCCAGGGACCAGTGCATCGTGTGGAGCCCATTGCTCAGTGCGTTTGAGAAGGCAGCGTGGCTCTCTGAGCACCTCTCAGCGGGCCAATGCACCACTCCAGGCAGGGCCCGTGCACTCCCAGATGAGATGCAGCCACTGCTGGGGTGGAACATAGGGAGGGCTAGTGGCGCATCGCTGAGCTGTGCAGCAGTTTGGGGCGGCGGGTGAAGGACCCCAGTGCATCCAGCTGGAAGTACCAGGGGGGTGGTGGGAGCTAGGGACGTTTGTACATGTTATTGGGTTTTTCTAGCTACAGATACTTTCTGGTTTTATTTCACTCTCGCGGTGTACAACGATGATTCCCCTTACTATTTTGCACATCATGCAAAATAGGATGGGCCCGGGGGTCGGGACTAGCAGCCCTGCTTTGCTACTCTCTGCCAGGAGCACAAGGAGTCAAGACTTTGATACCTCATTTCTTGCCAAAAACAGGCCATTCAGGAGTGCTGTATCCCCTTGCCTGATGCTGGGGCTGCACGGGCATTTCGTGGCCTAGCTTCTGCTGGGGAAGGGCTCTCACACCAGAGCTAGATCTCCACCTAGCTCTAGCAGCCAGGTCTTGGCTCATATCTCCCCTATGAGACCATGGGTCTGCACCGGGCCAGAACAAACAGTCTTGTCTCTGCCTGCATCATCTCCCAGGCCATCAGCAAAGGAAGCAAGGGTGGAGGAGGCCGTCCAGAGAGAAAGTGGGGAGAAAGGCAGCAATGAGAAGGGGCAAGAGGAAAAGAGAGGGTCCATGAGAGGCTGGAAATCCCTGTGCTCCCTTTGCTGGCTGCAACCGCATGGCTTAGGGCACCTGGCCAGCTAGGCTGGCATCCAGGTGACCGCTGATTGAGGATGCCTGACGATGGTAATGGGCAGAAACGACTCCAAGCTTTCGGAGTCCAGCGGGACCTGGGTCCCAGGGGCTGCCCCAATGCAACACCCAGCAGCTTGTCTGTGCACGGAGCAACACCCACGCTGCAACCCCTCCAGCCGCCTGTGCCAGGGCAACACCCGCATTGCAACCCCCCAGCCACTTGTCCCCAGAGCAACACACAGCCCATTCCTCCTACAGCAGCCAGTGCCAGCAGCTACACCAGAAGGTACAAATCCCCCCTGTTGCAGTGCATCCCACAGCTCTCCCCCCTCCAGGACCTTCGCTGAGGATGATCACGGGAGTTTCAAGCTCAGAAAGCACTTGACCAGGGCTGAGGGCTGAGGCTCCCTGTTCTGGGTCTCGTGCCTGGCTAGTAGGGGTTGGAGGGAGCTGTCTTTGTAGCAGCTGGGGAGAGGTCTGCCCTCTTTAAGGTCTGGGGTGATCCAGGCCTTGGGGCTTATAAGGGAGCAGCTGGGAGCTGGGAGCCAGGGATGTGCGAGCGATACAACCGGGGGGATCAGCAGCTAGAGATGGGGAAGTACCTGCAAAGGGGAGATGGACTGAGGTGGGGGGATGCTGCCTTCTTCTGTATCTGGGACCTCTTGGGGGGTATATTAACACCCTTTGCAGCAGCAGGACCTTGCTTTACCTATTGCATATTCGGGTGTGATGCCTAGGGCTATGTCAGGTATGATTGTGTCATGCTACTGGGCTTTCTCTCAGCTGGTTTGGACAGGGCTGATCCTGCCTCATGCAGGGCTTGGACTGGATGTGACCTCTGCAGGTCCCTGCCAGGCCCACTTCCCTGTGATTCAATGGAGAGAGATGTGCACAGCGCAGTGCTAGCACGCGAGCTGGCAGCAGTGTCGCGGTGCTAGTGCGGGGCTGCGGCTGGGCTGCTCCTGCTTGGAGCAGGGCATTGGACTAGATGTGACCTCCTGAGGTCCCTTCCACCCTCATTTTCTACGATTTCTATCATTTCTATGATCCTCCTGGCAGAGGCAGGACTGTCCTGCACTGCCACGGTGCTGTACCGACAGGGTTGCACAGATCCTGGGACCCTCGGCGGTGCATGCAAGTCACATCTGAGCTGTACCACGCACAGGTTTCAGATGATAACTTTTTTACATGATGCACAGTTAACGTGTGGACTTCATGGTCCTGGGACAGCCAGAGTCAGCAAGGAGCTGGACACATTCATGGATGTTCAATCTATTCGTGGCGATTGACCCTTTTAAAATACTATTAGGCAAACAGATTCACAAGAGAAACCCAGAGATTTCCTATACGGATCCGCAGAATCCAAACCCTTCTGGGTGCCGCTGTGCTCTTTGCAAGGGAGGAAGGACTTTTCTGTCGTCGAGCAACGAGGGAAAGCCAAGAGAGGGCATGTCCCATCTCTGTGAGAGCTGGCAGTCACATTAGTAGATATATGAACACCCTTTATAGAAGCAGGACATTGGCCGCACCAGCCCCCCTGCTTTCCCTGCTGCCTGGTGTTGTGTCAGGGGTGCTTGTGTGGCTTTGCTATGGGGCTGGTTTGTCTGGATGGTTTGGATGGCAATGATCCTACCTCAGGACTAGATATGACTGCCAGCCCCATCTCTCTGAGGTGCTATGGTGGTATCTCTTCAGACAACCTGCTCCGACACCAGGTGCCTGAGCTCAACGGTGCGCTGACCCTCTGCCCTTGCTCCCCGCAGGCCGGCTTGGTGTCCCCCGAGACCCCGGAGCAGCTGTTAATTGCCCTGGAGCCAGAAGCCGCGTCCATCTACTGCAGGAAACTCCGGCTCCACCAGCTGATCGACCTCAGCTACAAACCGCTGGCAAATGGCCTGGCCCCCGACCGCTCCATCGACTCCAGCTTCAGGCAGGGTAAGAGACTGCAGAGCTGCGTCGATGCATCCTCTGGGCCCCTGGTGTGGAGGGGGCCAGAGGCCGCGGCAGTCCTCGGGGCTCTTCCCAATCCCTGCTGAGTGTCTCTGCATTGCAAACCCCCGTGCGATGCATACCTGTGCTCAGAGCCCCCCAAAGCGATGGGTCCTCCCCCAGCCAGGTGCATTGGCTGGGCTGTGGGGAGCACTGCTGGAGCCGCAGAAGAGGCTGTGGCTCCGGGCAGAGGAGCCTGAGAGCCCTGCTGGTTCTCCAACCAGCCCTGGGACAGGGAGCAGCGTCCACACAAGCCCTTCATTTTACATCCACTAACGGGACACGCTGCAGGAGCAGCAATGACAAGTGATTCTCCTGAGGCATCAATAACTTGGGAGAATATTAAATACCAACTGCAGTCAGACTCTTTTAAGAGTGGCGAGTCCAGAGGGACCTCGACAAATTGGAGGATCGGACCAAAAAGAAAGCTCCGGAGGTTCAACAAGGACAAATGCAAAGTCCTGAGACCAAAAGGAAGCTAAAGTAGGGCTGATCTAAAGGATGTAGGATGTCTCTTATAACCCAGGGCTGCCTGCATGCAGGGAAAATGAAGGTATCCCCAATACAGGAAGGGATTGGTGAAGGATTAGGAGTAAAATGAGAGTGCCATCAGCATGGGTTGGTGGAAAACGAGTCCCTTCAAACCAGCTTGGTACTTTGGGATGAGGTCGCGGGTTTGATGATGTCACATGATGTAATCGACTCTGACGTGCAAGTTCATGATGTCAACAGGAAGCAATTCAAATGGATCTTCCTGGGGTGTCTCGAGTGTGTATTAACAACCTTTGCAGCAGCTGGACCTTGGCTGCCATGGCCCCCCTGCTTTCCCTGCGGTAGGTTGACGGTAGTTTTATAAAGGGTTTAGATGATGGTTTGTCTGAGCTGGTTTGGACAGGACTGATCCTGCCTCAGACTGGGGGTTGGACCAGATGAGCTCTGGAGGTCCCTCCAGCCCCACTTCTCTGTGCAATTCAACCTGCCCCTGTTAAATGAAACTAAAATTGGCTCAACTCATCGGCTCTCAAAGAATTGTAAACAGGGAACCACAGCATGGGTGTTTCTCCCTCCAGTCCCTGGAGGAAGCCGTTCTTGGTCCTATGCTAGATCACAACCCCTGGGGACCTTTCCCCCAAAGAAGCATTATCAAGCGACCCAGACCCGCGAAGCAATAAGTGCACGATGCAGAGCGATGCCAACCTCTTGTTAACCTGGACGTGAGCAAAGATGTTTCAGTGCAAGTACGTGTGACATCTTGTACCTGGGAACAAAGAGCAGGGAGGGGAGGATGGGGTCTGGGAACAATGCAGGGGCTACAGGGAAAATCTGGCTGACCCCAAGCTCCCGGCATGGGGCTGTGGCCAAAAGCAGGTTTTCTGAACAGCCAGAAAAAACATGTTTGCTGTTAGAACAGGGAGGCCGTGGACTAGACAGCAGGGAAGTCGTGGACTCTCTGTCGTGGAGGGTGGTCAAGGAGAGGGTGGTCGGGGATGCTCTTGGTGCAGCGATGTCTGTGCCCTGCTGTGGGGGTGTCCCAGGTGTCTGGGCTGTGCTGGTTGCCCCCTTCTCCCCTTTCTGCCCCATGTGTCAGGGGGGTTTTAGGGTGCTGGGTGCTGCAGCCCAGGCTGGGGCTGGGGCTGGGCTGTGCCAATGCTCCTGCTGCACCAACCCCGCAGGGTCCTGGCTGGAGGGTCTTGCTCAGGATTAGACTAATGCTACATTGGAGGCAGGAAGGGATTTCCCCCCTGCTCAGACTGGTCTGCACTGGTGGGTTTTGCCTTCCCCTGCAGCGGGGGCTCGGCCTCTGCTTGGGGTCTCTGGAGTGTATATTTAACCCTCTTTGCAGCAGCAGAAAGGTGGCAGCCACGATCCCCTTGTTTTCCCTGCAGCAGGGTCGGGGGTGATGCCTGGGGCTGTAGTTCAGCTAAGAGGTTGGGCAATTCATTTGTCTGGCCTGGTTTGTATGGCAATGATCCTGCCTCGGGCAGGGGTTAGACTAGATGTGACCTCTGCAGGTCCCTGCCAGCCCCATGGCTTTGTGGCCCCATCCCCATGGCTCTGTGGCCCCTGCATCTCTAGGAGTCCTTGCAAGCCCACATACGATATCTAGTGAGGCTGTCAAATAGGCGTGTTTGGCTCTGAAGTGCCATATCTGGAAGTGGTATCCATGCTTCCAACAGGACGTTGTAAAAAGGTAGAGAAGAGTCATGAAAAATGATTGAAGCATTGGAAAGCAAATGTGGAGGGGCTCTTTCCAGCCAGCTTGTCAGGGAAGGGGGTTCCCTGATTACAGCGGTAGGAGAAGGATGAAGAGAGACCTCGAGGGCTCTTCACTCCAGAGGCTGGGAGCTCCTCGTGAGGCCCATGGAGCATTTGTACACGCCACGAAATTTCCTGTTTATGCCACTGCAACTGCGTGTGTGTTTGCACGAGCGGCTGGGAGAGTAAATCAGCCCTGAAGCAAACGAGGAGGACGGTGGTGAAGTCTGCTTCACCAGCAACTTGAACTCCAGACTGCACCGGAGCCTATCTACTAGACAAACATCCCAACAGGAATTAAGTGACGGAAGCCTTCAGGCTCGTGATACCCTGGAGGTCGGGCGGCATTATCCCAATGCTCCCTTCTGACCTTTGTAATCTCAGGATTGTCAGCACCAAACGACATCGCGGCAGCCGCCTCTGGGATGTGACTTCTGAGAGCCCGCTGAGAGCCGCAATCATCCCACGCTGGGTCAGAGCAGCGTGCGGGCAAGCACCTGAGCGATCCAGACCCCTGTTGTGTGCAGGCAGACACAAGGCACAGTCCTCACCTTGAAGCGCTTTTGCTTTAATTTGGGATGGATGCAATGAGGGAGCGCAGCAGTGAAATGGGGACGAGGGAGGCTAATGATGAGAAGGCAGCGTGGGGGCCCACAGGACATAGCACAGTATTTAAGTGGCTATATGCTAACGGGGTGAACATCAAAGCTGTCACATCCTGGGTCAGACCCCGAGTCCGTCGCGCCCCGTCTCCAGTGTCTCACAGCAGCTGGAGGAAGAGTCAGTGGGTCTGAGCAAGGTTTTCCCCTGTTCCTCTCCCCCTTGCAGCCTCCAGCACTGAGGGTCCCGGCAGGTCTGATGCAGAGGCCGTGCCCCTCACTCCCTGCCGAGTGACCGATGCCCCTTTCCTCCAAACACGTGTCCAAGCCCTGGTGAATCCGGCTGAGCTCCCAGCTCCCACATCTGGGGGCCACGAGTCCATGCCACGCTGGGGGAAGAAGAACTTCCTCGTGTGAGTTTTAAACTGACGGCCAGCTGGTTTCATGCCGTGACCCCTCGTTCTTGTCTGGTGAGAGACAGGCAGTAATAAATCCCTAGTGACTTTCTCTTCCCCATTTAGTACATTTGTAAACCCTCCTCCTGTTCCCCCTCCGGCATCTCTTTTCTATGCTGCCCAGGCCTGGCCTCTGCAGTCTCCTGCTAGGGAAGCCCCTCCATAGCCCTCCTCATCCTTGTACCCTTCTCTACTTCTGCTGTTTGGTGGGAGCTTTGCTTTGCAATGTGCCAGATGCGAGATGTGGCACGGGCACATGCGTGTGCATGTGCGTGAGGGAGCCCCCTGCAAAGTGCATAACCCAACTCCTCTCCCTCTGGCTTTTCTCCAGCCTCTTTATCCCGTCTTGGCTGCATCCCCGCAGACCCCACAGCAGGAGGGTCCTGGGGGTTGATTCTGGCAGGGCTTTGCAAAGCAGGGGGGCGTGGGGAGCTGGGGGGCTCGTTGGGAGAGTAGGGGGCTGGGGTGGGCAAGGGGAGGCCCCTGAGGGGGAGGTTGGGACATGGGAAAAGGCAGGGCTGGCGCCTGCTGCAGAAACCCCTTTGCTGCGGCCGGATCCTGAATGGAGCTGAGCACCCGCTGCCTGCAGCAGCCCCACGGCTCCAAGGAGATGATGCCGTTTGTAAACCTCAGCCCTGCCTTTGCAGCAGGCCCAGCTCAGCCAGGCCTTCAGGGTGAGCTGTCCCCGGGCCCCCTCCCAGGGCCCTCCTTCCTGAGCCCTTCTCACATCCAGAGTTGCGGGGGGGGGCAAGGCATTGTAGCTGGGGAACAACAGAGCCTCTGTGTGCGTGCGCATGTGTGTGTGCATGCATGTGCGTGTGCTTGTGTGCATATGCATGTATTTGCATGCGTGCACATGCACATGTGCACGATTTTGTGCGTGCATGCATATGCGTGCGCATGCGTGTATGTGAGTAAATGCACGTAAATATATGTACGTGTGTGTGTTTATGTGCATATGCATGTGCGTGTATGTTTATGCGTGTGCGTGTGTATGCATTCATGTGTGCATGTATGTATGTGTACGCGTGTGTGTGTGCGTGTGCTCACGGGGAAGGGGGCCTCTTCCAAAGCAGCGAGCCGTAGCCCTCGCCCCCGGACACAGCCGTGTTTCCTGAGCTGGCCAAGGCGGGTCAGAGGCTTCCCATGTACGAGGTGGGGGGCTGGCAAAGTCCCAGTTCCTGCTCCAAAGACAGCCGCCCACCCCATGTGGTCTGCATTAGGACGTTGTGCACGCCCGGATCCTCCGCCCGCGGGGATCTCCACAGCCCACAGCAGCTCCGTGGCTGGATCCTGCTTGCAGATCCAGGGCAGCCTCTGGCTTCTCCGCTGCATTCAGGCTGGGGGCAACGGGGGCTGGATGTGGCTGGCGGTCCCGGGGGAGGTAGGATGGTGTGGGCTTCATGAGCTGGAGCAGGTCACGATCCCCCCACATACCCTGGCTGTGACAGACGCCACCCCAGGCCCTGCAGACCCTGACCTCTGTTGTCACCAGTTTCTCAGCCCCTGGCCTGCTCCATCTGACCTCCATGGCCTTACCAATGATCCGATGATCTCCAAGTATGTGCTTATGTTGGCTTGCTTCTCCCTCTTTTGCTTCCCGAGGATGGGTGGCATCACAAGCCAGTCGCCCCTGCCTGGGAGATGTGACTATTAGCCATGCCACAGAGTGCCCTTATGGCCTTAGGCAAATCCCTTGACATACATCTCTGTGAAAGGGCGACAAAGCCCTTTCTGGCCGCCCAGCCTTGCCAGGAGGAGACGATTGTCCGTGCCCCTGACAAGAATCGTGGCCGCTGTCGGGGTAGGTAGAACAATCCCCTCGCTGCTCCTGATGGGGAAACTGAGGCAGAGAGCAGAGAAGCAGCAGGTCCATGGGCGAGCAGGGGATAGACGTCCAGGATTGTCCTAGCCAGTGCTGTCCCTGCCCTACTGCCCATCCAGGGAGCTTCCAGAGTGGGGTTTGACCCCCAGGCTGGAGGAGCAGACCCCCTGCCCCTTCCCAGAGCCCTCCACCCCTTTGTCATAACCCAGGTCTGGGCCGTCCGCGTTGCATGCTGCTGTCTGTCGACGCCTCCCCAGCGCTCCTCCCTGGAGGTCCCCAGCCCCGCTGCTTTCTTGGTCCCCTCCCCTTCCCATCTCAACTCTCCCTGCTGCCTCAGCTAAAACGGAGCCTTGGATCTCGTCTCTTTGCAGACTTGAGGTCACCCACGGCTCCGCATGAGCTCACGTCTCGCGGCTTTGGCTTGGCCGGCCTTCTCTGTACACGGTTGTGCTTCCACCCCCGCACACGCCCAGCCCTTCCACACCAGCCCCATGCCAACGCTTGCTTTTCCGAAGCAGCCCCCCCTACACAACCCGGCATAGCCGGGGGACCTCTCGGCTGAGATCGGCAACCAGCCCAGAGCCCAGCTTCCTTGCATGGCAGCCCAGCTTGAAACCCCAGAAGCCAGAGGGAAAGGAGCTTGTTACTACTGTTGTGCCGGCTCTGATATCATCCGCGTGTGCGGGCCGTCCGCCTGCGGCCCTGGATCTCCGGGGAGGTTCCTACGTGGGGGACGCCGGGCCGGCTGGGTCCCCGTGGGAGGTCTGGCTTGGAGCAGGATGGGCAGCAAAGTGTGACGGCAATGCCAGCTCTTTGGCTGGTGCGGACCGGGCGAGGAGCCCTGGAGCCGCAGCACAGGCTGGGGATGGGACTAGACTCCTGCTGACACCAACCCTGCAGGGTCCTGGCTGGAGGATCTTGCTCAGGGTCAGACGGATGCTAAATTAGGGTCAGGCATGGTTCAGATTTGGGGCTTTTGCCTTCCTCTGCAGTGGGGGCATGGCTTGTTGAGCATCTCTGAACAGCACCAGGACACTGGCAGCTGCGGCCCCCCTGTATCCCGGGGGCAGGGGCGGGGGGCGACTGCGTTGTGTTGGACACGGGGTTTGTCTGGGCTGGTTTGGAAGGGGCTGATCCTGCCTCAGGCAGGGCCTGGACTGGATGTGACCCCCACGTCTCTATCGTTCTCTGAATGGCAATGGGGCGCGGGGCTGCCCTGGGACCCAGCATGGAGAAGCCTCATCGGTAAGGGCCCGATCCTGCTCTAGGGGCCTTTTCTGCAGAGACGCTGAGCATGGGAGCTGCTGGTGCTTTGCACATCTCTGGATCAGGGTCCCTGGGAGCTGCCGAGAGGCCTCGGGGAGTGCTCCCGTTGCCCCCACCCCATTCACGCCTCTCCCCTCTGCTCTCTCCTCGCAGCCCGGGAGCAGCTCCGGCGTTCCCGCCACAGCAGGACCTTCCTGGTGGAGTCGGGCGTGGGCGAGCTGTGGTCTGAGATGCAGACAGGTAGGAACAGGAAGGGTGGGGGGACCTTGGTGCTCCCCTCTGGGGGTGGGACACAGAGCTGAGGCACTGCAGCGTCTAGGAGTCATGGCCAAGGCCACGGAGGCAGTCTGTGGCAGAGGGGGCATGCAACTTGAGGGCACGCGGGCCCCAAATCCCGCGCAGAGGGTGCCCTGGTCCTTACCCCCGCTGACACTCCTGCAGCCAGCGCTTGACCCTGGGAATGAATCCGGGTCCTCTGGGATGCGCGGGGAACGGCTGGAGGTCATTCCAGGTCAGGTCAAGGTCAAAGCAGGTGACCCGAGCCTGGCTCTGCCCTAAGCTAGCAGGTCAATTTTTCATGGGAAAAAATGTTCTTTGCAAACTGTCAGGCACAAACACCCTCCTGCAGGCAGGGAGAGACCCTTGCTGTGCCTAAAGAAGGGCGTTTGTGCCCGAAAGCTGGCAGAGAGCAATTTGTCCAACTATTTAGTTGGTCTAATAAAAGATATCACAACTGCTCTCCAGATCACGCATGCTTCTCTGCACCAGGCAGGTCCACCCTGCCGGTCCTGGGGCTCTGAGTAGGGACCTCCCCAGCTGGCCCCAGCCCCCCCCCAAAACAGCTGTCACGGGGTGCAGCAAAGCCCAGCCAGCTGGGACCTGGGATCTGACCCCATCTCGTCCCTGCTGCAACTGGACCCTGCCTTTCCCCCTTCTCCGGCACCGTCTCCAGAGCTCTTTGTACCCAGTCACTTCCTTCCCTGGATGGAGTCAGCAACAGGGGAAACTGAGGCACGGAGCTGGGTGGGGGGATAGCAAGACGGTGGATCGGGGGAAGCCCCTTTTCTAGGCTTGCATGCTCTCTCCTTTGCCTCAGAAACCTCAAGCAGACAGGACAAGCCCCCAACCCTGCTAGGGTGCCTTAATGAACACTGCTAATTAGCAGTGCATTCCCAGCACCCCGTTCTGAGCTGTGCTCATCCTTTTTGGAGCATCCCTCTGCTCACAGGGAGGAGGTGGAGAGATGGGGGTGCCCAGAGCTCCCTGCCCAGGGCTGAGCCCAGCTCCAGGGCCCCAGCCTGGGCTGAAAGCCAGGGGCAGTGCAGGGACGGTCACCCACACTCCTGGCTTGTCTGCGGGGAGGCAGCTGGGCGGCTATGGGGAGGCTAAATCCCCTGAAGACCGACAAAGGATTATTGCAATAAGAGCCCTTCCCTAGGGAGGTCCAGAGCTGGGGACAGCAACCACTGGTTTCTCTTGGCTCCCAGCCCCAGTCCTGGGAAACCTGGTGCGTGTGCATGCACGCATGTGCACGATGCTGCGCTGTCAGGATCGGGGCCTTCATGCTCTTTGAACCGGGGACGGGGAAGGCTCCCAAATGCATTCGGCTGCTGCTCCCCTGTCAAGGGCTGGAGCTGCTGCAGGGGGTCCCGTGATGCTCTGTGGTTCCCAGCTCCCCCGACTCGGGTCTGGGACTCAGCTACTTGCCTTGGAGGCTGTGGCGGGGAGGGCCCAGCTCAGTGCTGGCTATGGGGGGAGCTCGGGATACACCCCCCAACCCCCAGTAGCTGCTCTGGGGTTTGGCTGGAGGGACTGTTGACCCTTTGGGGATTTCTGGGCCATAGCAAGCACTGCATCCTGCCACGGATCCAACTCCCCGGGGATCTCGCCTGCCCACAGTCCCTTGCACCAAGCGGGAGGGGATCAGGGCATAGACAGGTAGTGGGGCCTGTGGCAGAAATGCCCCCGTCGGTGCCCCTCTCCAGAGATCTGTCTCAGCCGGCCTGAGAGGCTGCTGTTGAATCTCTCACAGCGGGGATCTCGCTCCTTGTCTGCAGACAAAAGCCTGGCGCCTGGGAGGCGATGCTCTGGTCACCTGGGCAGGGGGGGAAAGACCCGGCCCTGCGCGCGGGCCCAGGTAGCCAGGGATGCCATGCAGATTGGTCGAGGTGAATCTGGGCCTGGCTCTCTCCTCATCACCGCATGCTGCAAGAGTGCCCTGCCTCCAGAGGAAACAACAACCACCTCTGGATGATGCGAGTGAGTAACCTACTAGAGATCCGATCAGATATTTAGCTTCAGTAACTCAGATGCGTGTTGAAACGGCTACCTCAGCCACCCTGGTTTGCTCCATGGGATTCCTTTGATATTCCTGTAAGATTTCTATGATATTGCTCTACCTTTTACCCTGTTTCTGCCCTACCCCTGTAATCAATAAAGTTCTCCTTTGTGACCGGTGTGGAGACTTATTGAGGGGTGGGACTAAATTATGCCAAGGAGGCCCCTGAGGTCTGTGGACTAAGGGAGGCTTCCTAATAAGCCCCTGACTTGGGGAAGTGCCCCAAGTGCTTATACTGGGTCTAGCACCCATTGGACGATCAGGCCTGTGTTTTCCAAGGTGCACAGAGCCAGAAGTGAGTCCAGAGCCTTGGATGGTGGCAGCGGGACCCCCAGGCTAGCGGGTGTGCTCCAGGGAAGGGGTCGGCCGGACGGGAGGCACCCTAAGGGAGGCACTCGGAGCCTGGAAGGTGGTCGGGCGCAGGGAGGTGGGAGGCTCAA